TTTTATAGTGGAAGTGGAATCACACTACACCTTAACTCCGTTACATAAACACATTTGGCCCATTTGGACAGAGTACTAGACAGCAATCTTTAAATAGAATTTTCAGACATTGATTGCATATGGTCATGTGAGAAAAAGTCTTTTATATTTCTATCACTTTTACACATCTATTTTGATGATGTAAAAAGTGGTTATTAATAGAGGTTGTGCGGCTCACCTTGTGATAGGTGCCGATATATTCCAGAGGTCCGAAAGACTCGGGAGTCATGGACTGAGCCAGGCCACTTTGCCACAACATTGCTGATCAGACAGTCAGCATTGCAGACCATCTGTAATTATAAGATGAAGACTATTAAATCAATCAACGCACATGCAAGCAATGTTCTGATATGTGCAGTTGTGATGACGATGATGAGGAGGAAGACGCGCTGTTTCGTATAACAGCAGCACATTCAGAAGTGAGCCTCTTCTCTGCATCTGCTGCATCATTGGTGCAAAAGAAGCCTATCTTTTTAAACCTGGGATTGAGCAGTGTCACTAGTGACATGATGCTCATTGATTGCAAAGTGGATAGCTTCTCCCTTAACTGTCTCCTCAGACTCTCAGCCATTGCTGTGCTCTCTGGAGTTTGGACAATTCCCATTTCCTCCTCCTCCAGTGTGTGGTGTAGCATTGATAAAAGGGGAATGACTTTTGATCCAGACACTCTCTTCTCTTCTGACAGCTCAACTGTGGCATCATTAATTGAGGACAGCACTTTTAGACATTCTGTGATAATTTCATACTGTTCTGATGAGAGTGGGGCAACGTCAGTGTGTAGGCCTGCCAAAGCTGCTCCTACAGGTCATAAACACGTTGGAGCATGGTATATGCTGTTCCAGCGTGTATCCACCTCTTGAATTAGCTTCAGGGTCGGCCGGCCCAGTTGTTCCTGCTCCTGTGTCAGCCTCTCCTATAAAATTAGCCACAAAAAGTGATTCATTTGAGTGTCACTGCAGCAGCAACTTATACAAAACAGCGTCATTTAGAATATTTAGAATATATTCACCTTTGCAGTGGTGCTCCTCTTGAAATAGCCCACTATCTTCCTAGAGTTTGCCTAGATGTCAGACTACAAAGAATTTTGGTCAAGAGCCTTTTTTATGAGTAAATTTAAAGTATGGGCCACACAATTTGTGTGACACAAACAAAGCTCCCTGGCACAAGCACCCATATTTGCTGCGCCATCAGTCACAAAGCAAGTAACTTTGTGTGTAACACCCCACTCTGACATAAGTGCTGCTTTTTCTGTTGCCAAATTTTCAGCAGTATGTTTCTCAGGGAAATGCAGCCCCCCTAAAACAACAGAATGCAAAGAGGTGCTTGCATCTATAAAATGGCATGTCACAGCTAGATACGAATCAGTGTTGATAGAAGTCCACATACGCACCTGCCTTGTGGGGAGAACATAGGTAGGGTTGAAAACTTAAACAAGCTTTTGAACCCTTTGTCCTCCACAATAGTGAAGGGCTGGGAATCCTCAATCATCATATTGACCAAGGCCTCATCCACATCATTCTTATCTCCTGATGACAAAAAAAAATGCAGTATTCAATTACAGATGTCATTAATAACTCACATTTAAAATATAAATTAATGTTGTCTAATACAAACATACCATGCAATTCTATGTTTCTATGCTGTCTTATCATTGCATCCTAAAATGAAGGTGTTATGAGGTGTTATTGTTGTATCCAAGTTCTTTTAAACACAGACACTTCACCTTTTAATATACCAAAAATTAGAAGAAAGACAGTAGAGCAAGGGATACGCTGTGTTGTCACATTTATTTACAGTATATTATGCTAGTTATTATCATTATGTGCATACCTTATTCGGAGAGATCAGCTCAAAATGTTCGCAGACGGGGGAAAAACTCCTCTTTCTTGCCGGTTCCATCGCAAAAAAAAAGAAGCTTGAATAGATTGCAAACAAACTCGCAATTAAGTTCCAAGTCCACAAAATGTGAGGGGGGATCGATTGCTTTTCGCTGCCCCTTATATTTCAAACTGCAAGCCAAACCCGCAAACCATTTCCTGAATCAGTCACGTGGTATGGCTGGCTCGTGAGGCTTCGCACGTCACCACATACGTCATCAACACAAACCTCGATTTGCGCTTCACAAAAACCTTCCTAGATTACTTGACACACGCTTCAAAGCCTCCACACGGAAGGACACATCACAAGATTTTTTCTGTTTGCTCAGGTTATCCTGTTTGCCTGGCTGATTGCCTACATTATGACTTCAGTGCAGTTTGTAGTTTTTCCTCCATGTGCTCAGCACTCATGCCGTCCCTGGGATTTCCATCAGCCAGCATGCTCTCTGCCTCCACTGTCTGCTCTTCATTGCTTTTGTTGAGCAATAAACTCTTTATTTTTGTGTAACCTATATTAGTCTCTGCTTTGGAATCTGAACAAAGTCAAGACTAAACACTCTATCTGAAGTAGAAAAGTATCAGACAAACTGTCTAGGGTCTGTCCGATTGGTGGTTCAGTGGTAGAATTCAGGTATGTGGCGTGCTCTGCAGTGCATTGTGTTGAATGTTGCAGGCTGATTAAATAAAAAATATATTTCAGGCCCATTTTACAATTCTGGCTGGTCCAGGGTGTGCGCATCAGTGGTGGGAGGTGCCGGGCTTGGACAGCGCAGAGCTAGTTGATGCTACTTTATGGGTCGTGGGGTCATCTGCGTATAGTTGTAATTTACTGAGAGCCATCGCATTGCGACACTTTTTTGTCTACTTTTCTTGGTGCTGAATTCTTAAACCGTTTAATCAAAATATCAAATGAGAGGCCGCTAAAACTCACCATCACTTATCTCTGAAATATACATCAATCATTTCTATAGAAGAATTGAGGAAGGCCCAAAGTACAGCATATAATATTTGTATAATACCGTATGTTAAATGACGCCGCTTAAAGAGTATTTATGATTAAAACTGTTAG